TTCCCCGCATGCTGCTTCTCCACACTCAGCGGCCCATATAACAGCTGTTTCGGTATCCGCGTCAAATCCATGCGGTACACATGACCGAGCCACCTCAAGTGTTAACAAAAGTATGCAGTCCATTGCCCACCTTCCACTTCGGCGCAACACCTCCATGTCTGCAACTCAGTTGCACCAACCGATGCGCAGAATCCTTCACAGACACTGTTGCTGGAACCTCTCGAGATATCTCACGTCTCGCCGGTACTTCGTCCACGTTTCTATGCCGTATAGAAGAACGGACACCACCATGGATTTGTACACCATCAACTTCGTGCCAACGGTAAGCTGGTGGTTGTTCCACTCTCGATACTCTAGATCAGGCATTCTCATCCTCTATTCCACCGTGACCCCCTTTTGAACCTTTCCATTTCTCAGGGCCCCCACCTTTGATCATCACAATTTAACCATCCACAACGCCTGACAGACGTAAATCTGTGATTTCCAGTGGTCATATTGGTATACTTTTTGTGTGTAGATTCGTCGCAGCTAGACACACACAGACAGCCACCACACATCCCGGAAAGCACTAGACGGCCATTTCGTCCTATTGGGGCTCGTCATTAGCGCGCATCTACCGAATACTGCCGGATTCGAACTCTCGACCTTACTCTTGGGAGTCAGCGACTTATGTCACTGAGCCGTGGGCGACAGCAGCGGACTGCCATGACTGATATCTAACCTGCGATATAGCGCGGCTCATCCTCCATTGTCTTGCATGTTATGATATGCAGAGAACAGGGCTGGCTCCCAGAGCAACGACTTCCTTTGCAAGCCGCCACCAATCGAGGTGGCAAGTATGCTGCTAAGGCAACTACTGATGATTTGTAAGTGGTAGGGGGATTTATTAGATTTTTGTGTAGATTCGTCGCAGCTAGACACAGACAGATAGCCACCACACATCCAGGAAAGCGCTAGACGGCCGTTTCGTCCTATTGGGTCTCGTCAGTAGCGCGCACCCTCCGAATCCTGCCGGATTCGAACCGACGACCTTACTCTTGCGAGTCAGCGACTTATGTCACTGAGCCGTTTTCGACGGCAGCGGACTGCCATGACTGATATCTAACTGCGATATAACGCGGCAGGATTCGGCGGGTGCTATCTACTGACGAGTCCCAATAGGACGAAACGGCCGTCTAACACTATTCTGGATGTGTGGTGGCTGTCTGTCTGTGTCTAGCTGGTATACTTTGTTACGAGGGCTAAATTTTTGATGTCGGTATCAATGCTGTTTTCCTTATAGACATCATTCTTTATATTTCACAGCCTCAAGATAACATACATCTTGCGGCAACATCAAACCACTTGTCTGCAATTACGCGAAAGTCATCATTAATATTTATACTTTTAATTTTTGTAGGTTTTTAACTGAGACATGTCATGAATTAGGAAGTGTAGTAATTTTGTAACAATATGTTAGCCTTGAGCCTGATGTCATTGGGCAAGCTTTCTTGTGTCTGGCTCTAGACTTGACAGCAAGACTCAAAAATCTCCTCTTGCTGCATGGTCCATCTCTTTCTACTTCTTGTTAAATAAACCGCTGCTAAATCCACATCCAATCAAGGATGCGGATGAGTCAGATGGATGCAGACTCAGTTGGAATTCCTCCGGAGATGTTCAAGTATGGAAGCGCAGTTACCAAAACCAGCTAAGCTGATTGTTCTCCAAAACGTGATATGAATCAGTTATTGTCGCAATTTTTAAGCATCGTAATCGTACTTCATGCACCCTTCACCGCGGGACTAGTTTCTCTTCGGTTGCTTCCAAGTTATTGAAATCCATTCAACTACAGATGATTCGTAACTCGCGGTATCGTGAAGTACAAGCTGGCTTCCATCCTGGCCGTAAGGTGTAGATCGAATCTTCACGCTCCACCAAATCTTCGAACACTGCCACCTCAACCAGAGGCTTAACATCGTTACATTCCTAGACATCCGTTCTGCATTCGACTCGGTTGGTCGACCTTCGCTATTGCGTTGCTAAGGTACAGGGTCGCGAAAAAATGTACTACCATCCTGCGCGCACTCTCCTCCACATCTCCGGCAGATCAGTAGTTTATGGCATACCTCGCTGTCAACAGGGCTGCCTTATGTCCCCTTTTCTCCTCAATTCTGCGATCGGAGACGTTCTTTAGAGGGTTCTGGACGTTTATCAACATTTTGGACTTAGCTACTACCGGGCAAGGGGGCGACCGACTTAGATTATGCCGATGATATCGTCTTACTTGGTGACAAGTCAAAAAGGCATGCAAACTATTCTAAACTGAATGTGCTTTGTTCCGTCGAAATGCCAAGTGCTGCTCCAGAATTGGCTATCGCCCGCCCCCGTGCTCATTCTTGAAGCTGCACAACTTGAACACCTTAATAGCTTTGTATAGCTGAGTAGCTGTGTGTCTGCTGGTGGCTCTATCCGCAAGAAAATTTTCCTCCTTATCGCCAAAGTCCGGTCTGCGTTTGATGACCTGCACTGTTTGTGGCGCCGTCGAGATGTCTCCCACTTGGTAAAGGGTTGTGTTCACAATGGCACTTTTCGGGCGGTGTCGTTATGTGGCAGTGAGTTATGACCAGCTGGCGTAGATTACTTGTGACGGTTGTCGCTTTTCGATAATAGGCGCTTGCGGAGGATCGCTTGTGGGTGGTGACAGCAACGTGTCTGCAACGGTGAAGTCAGACGTCATGTCTTAAGGAATGCGAGTATTCTCTTCAATAAACTGGGTTTGTTACTTCAGGTAAGATGGCTCGGTCTCCTCCTGCTTATATCAGCTGAGCGTTTGCCCCATTCCGCTCTTTTCTCTCCTGCAGGATTTGGCTGGAAGAGGCCACGCGGTGGTTCGTCTTCCACCTGGCGACAGCATATAAAATCGTTAACTTAGTCTCTTGCTGCCGTTGGATCCATACGTCTGCCTAGTTGGGGACCAAAGGACGAAGAGTGCCTATGGCTGAAAACAATGCAGTATATGACATGTATCGAAACCAGTGGAAGATCTGTGCACATGGTTGTTTAGATTTAGATGCTTAATGTTTAGCAGTTGAACAAGAAAAGAAAGCAAAAATGGCGTGTGTCAAATAACAAAAAATATCCTGTTTTTCTTTTCTTGTGGGACAGTTACTCGCCTCTAGATAGTGTGCTATGATGATGATGCGGGAACTTCCATGACTTTGTTTGGCTCTATATCCGTTCATTAGAATGTTACTAATATATACACACAACTTCATTAAATAAATAAATAACTTTTATTTCTGGACGTTGCGTGAGACTATTCCCACATAGGGAAAGATCAAAATATTTACAGTTCTTTTCATTTAGTCTCCTCTACATATTAGACGGGAATATGCATCATTTTGTATCCATGTCAGTTTCACACATGCATCTTGTTCAGGGCAAGATGCAGAAGACTGTGCTAGGATTATATCTTCCATTAATGGATATCCCGCCACTCTGAACCAGCGCAGTCTGACCAGAAGGCGGAAATGTGACTTTCGTGGATGAGCCATTCTTTCATGCCCGCTGATGCACAATCCAACTTCACCGATCGATTAAAACACTTTCAGAAATGCCAGTTTGTAGTGCACTCAAGAAGGAAATAAAATAAACACTAGTATCAAGGTAGGTAAGAACGGCTATAAAATGATTTCCAGTAAAAATAGATAAAGCGTAAATATATGGTAAAGAATAAACCAAAAATATAGACATCACTTTTTAAGGAATACATAAAACTTGGCAAGCGTTCTTGTAATTTCCTTAGTAGTTGTTTTGGAACATCTAAAACTGCGGACTCATGCCAAAAGCTTTATCCTGTGAGAAAAATACTTCAGAATGAAACGAAGATTTTAATAACAACAGATTCTGGTGCTAAATACAATGAGAGTGCAAGGCGCATCGTTTGATAGATGACAACATTTCAGTGCGACGCAGCTGTAATAGGGAAAGCGATCTTGATGATGGCATCATAATTTCCAAATTGTCAAACTAAGTCTAAAAAGTGTATTGTAGCGCAATAATAAATGTGGTCATGAGTTGTGCTGGAAAAGGTGGCGGCCGTTTTCTTCACCTAGAGATCTCATTCACATTGTTTACTCATTATCTCTGACGCTTCGTCCCAAACGTATAACATACGAAATCGTTTTGCACTACGGTTGTACATTTTTCGATCATTCATGGTTGATGAACTATAAAATGCCTTTATTTATCTGAACATACCGTCACAGGCGTGTCTCGCCGAAAACGAGAATATAAAATTTTTTTGTATATTTAAAGTCCACTTTTTTAATTCCTTGACGCTCAATGGTCTAAGCGATTTATTGTTTCCCTTCAGCGCTTCTTAATCTTTAGTTTCAGTCATCCTGCATGTACCTTTGGGGCCAGATTTCTCGCGTAAATTATTTCTAAAAACAGGTGAGACTTCTTCTCAGCAGATTCCTAATCCGACGGTTCTCCATATACCGGCCGTTTAGTGCTTTTCCATGCATGTGGAGGACTATCTGATTTGGAAGCTTCTGAAATGAACTTTTACTTACCTCAGAATCTCCCTACTCTTGTATACATGAACATATTCGCCATAACAGTTTCTACATCCTATGTTGTCAGTGGGACACCCGTCTTTCGAGGCCGAACTTGTCCTCTGCAACATTCGTAGCTCGCATGGCAGTAGAGGATGAGACGCGCGATATCACCGTTAATTTTTGAATCTTGGCGGTCCCTCGCTGTCCCCCATAGCTCGCTGGCTAAGCTGATGACTAGTGATTCAAGCCGCCGGTGGTTATAGGTTGGAATCTTGATGTAACTGATGGATGCGCACTACTGACGAGACCCAACAGACTCTCTGTTGCTGGTTCCTTTAATTTTCCATCTTGCTCAATCTTCGAGTGTGTGATCAACCTATGAATATTCGCCTGCTCTTGCTGTCATCTCTTCTGAGTCTAAATGTTTTCTATATTCATTTCATTTATCATCATTTTTAGTCGCATTTTCCATCTGGCTGATAGTGACGATGAAGTGCCGCTTGTACGAGCCGCCGCCGTACATCAGCTAGTAGATTTGGCGAAACATTTTGGGGCTGAAATCAAAACTGAATTGTGTCTGCTGCTCACAAGGTAAGCAGTCAACTAGACTTCTCTCATCCGGCAGATGTATTTTAGTTAACTTCATTTATTATTGCGTTTCGATATGCACATTATGTTTCAGCCTCGTATCTGACAACCAACGAGTTGTTCGGGCCGCATGCGTCGAACCGTTAATCGAACTTGGGCGACTGACTGCAGATCCCAACGATTTTGACTCCTCTGTTCGTCCTTGCATTGATAAACTCGCTGCAGACCCCACAAGGTTAGTTCACGCTTTACTGGTTATTTTAAATGCGTTCTTCCTATTTCTACTGTGTTCTCACTGGTGTTAAGGTCAATATTCTTTTAAACAACTTGCTCTCCTCCGCTGGTTAGACATCTAAACTTCGCATTTTTATTTTTTCACTTAAGGGACACTCGAAGGGCACTCGCCTCATCGATTACTGAACTTCAACAAGTTGCGTGCTCCTTCGGTGGTTCCACGCGGTCACTACATCAGATTATGCTCAATCTACTGGAAGATAATGAGGTGGAAACCAGACGAATAGCCACCACACGATTTAAAGGTGAGTGGTGATTCTCCTATCCCTTGAATTACACCTTACCCTCAAGCCCTCATGAGCATTGTTGCAACACGTATGAGCGTCATCGTTTCAGTCAAGGGGCAGCACTTTCTGTCGCGAATTCAACTCATCTTCCTACCGGGTTGGATCGGTTATTCCCGTCTCAATCCGCCAGCACTCATGCTGCTGTAACAGTAGTGACTGATACATAGTGTATCTTACTACCTACTCGATGCTACTTGATATGATCCTTTTTCATAAGCATCCCTACCCCGTTCAAATCACCTACCCGAGTATTATTCAACTTGATTAGCTCTCCTTATGAAGACTGTTAAATAGGTTCTGTGTAAATTGTCTAGGTCCCTCCATTGCTCCTTTGTCAACAGCAACATCAGTCGATACATCACCTCTACTTAACTGAGTTAGATGCCGTTTATGTACTCGAGTATAGCTTCTGTGATCTCTTCTCCCCGCTGTGATGACGTTTTATTACTTGAGCGAACACCAGCGCGTTTAGTATAGGATTTTGAAAGCTGGGGTGAAGCATCTGAGTCTGTTCTTTATCGATCAGATTAGAGACCTAACTGGGTAAAGCAACATCTTATCCAGTTTCCATTCTTATTTTTGTGCATCTGTGATTGAGCACAACCACAACGCAATTCGCTCTGCTTGGAACTGATGTGGCCTGTCGATAACATAGACAGTAGCGGACATTGTAAATCATAACACTTATAATTCTACATTATTGTCACTTCATAACCGGATGCAGTCATAGATTTGTTGCAGCAAACATGTTCAAATGTGGACTGAATTTTTAACGACAGTATTTTCCTTTATCATTGCTTCATTTGTAAAGCATATTTTCGTTCCTTTTGCAAACATGGGCACTATTCCCAGGCAATTTCGGAGCCGCACAAAAGCACTGACCACCACGATTGGCATCTATGCATGACAACCAGTCAGTACTCTTCTCTCGATTGTTCAAACTGTATTTTGATACTGTGCGTCCACTTTACGGTTAGTTAGCTGTATTGCGAATCTCCTCATATTTCATTTCCACTCCTGTTTTCTGATCAAAAATGTCATATTTCCATCTTAAGTGTTTAAACCGAAAGTCCTCTGGAATGGCTACAAGAAACAACCTTAAATCTATCCTGGAAGATTTGTAGATAATTGATTTCAACCTGGTGCTTGTCCAACAGGAAGACGCTATCTTTTATATGCTCCGTCACTACCTGTTTCCCGTTGGACGAGATCTCACTATCTGCATTGTGGGAATGTAGCATGCTACGCTCTATGGTTAACTGAACAATACGAAGGGTAATAAACAAGGTAATGGGCAACCTTGGAAACACCACTTGATGTTGAGCAGACGTCCGTTTGTTCACCGTATACCATGTTACGACCTTAGGTGCTCGAGTTCATGCCACGAGAGGTTCGCATATTCAGCTTTCCGGGCAAGTATACTGAAGGACACCGAGGCATCCGCTGTGTGAATTGCGCTTTTATAATCAAGGTGCATAGTCCTGTACGGCCTGCGGTTTGTGTGACGATTCTCTGGCCATTGCCTTGGAGTGAAATTATGGTCCATATAGTTGTCCCAATCGAAAGCCACTACTGTTTTATTATCCGGAATTCCATTTTTGTAGTAAGGCGACGAACAGGAATAAACGTGAGTGAGCGTATTAGTACTGTCGTCAGACGGATACTGCTGTGGATGCCGCTGCGATCGACTTTCTTGTATATTCTCACTGAGGTCCAGTAACTTATTAGGCGGGACCACTACCCAAATTGTATCGGTCTGACCACTTTTACCATTTTCTTCATAAATCCTCATCATACTGTGATTATATACGAACTGGAGGCTCTTTATGGCTATTGCTTGTTACATGCTTTCGCCCCTATGCTTCAACTGAAGCTTGACTACAATTCAAACTGGGCAATCTGAACACGAAGCGGATCATACATACATTATCATCACTAACAGCAGTACATCATCCATTTGGACTGATGCTTCGCTGCCGTACAACTATGATGACTTATAGAACGAAGTATACTAAGCGAGCGAAGGAGGATCTAGCGTAAAACTTAGTGCGTTAAAAAACACTCAGGGTTAAGGCGTCTACACCTTGCGTCAACAACATTCCGTCACAAAACGCTGATTATCGTGCAAAGATTAGGCGACATCGGCGGGACATCTTCCTTGCTACTTTCACTGCCCCGTAGATATCTCAGCTCCGAACCCCCATTAAACAGGCAATCCGACTAGGAGAAGACAGCAGACACGCAACTAGTGCCGACTGCGAGGCATGTCCTGTAATGTCTCGAACGGAGCACAAGGTGGGTCATGTGGACTCCAGACTGTAAGACGAAGAGGACCGACGGCACCGACCTTGATCATCAGTGACTTCGTTTCTCGCTCCCAAGTTAATTTTTGCCCACCTCGGACTTTGTGCCACTCTCTTTCGCGCAAACAGAACAAGCTCCTCGGTTAGCGGTGATCGGACATACGTAGTACGTGCCTAAGCCAGCGCAATTTACTCGCTGCTATCTGTTATTCTAAAATACTATCATGGTTATCATCGTCTATCATTCGCCTACGCACCTCATCGTTATGGACATGCTGGTGCGATCTGACACTAACAATACTTCGCACAACGATAGTCGATGTTAACATAATGCGACGGTTTGCGAACCTCATGGAAGCATTGCGCAAGACTAGGTGGAGCGTTTTGGCCCCTTAAGAGCTACTCCTGCCAGGTTGCTAACGCTAAATGAATTCATCCTCCAGGTCGGTGTTTTGGAGTAGGATGTCGTCCATTTCTACAAAACCGAATCATTGCCACATCCGCTGTTTCGCTGATACCCTTTTGAGCCAGAGGCTTTGGTTAAGGAACCTAATCGTCCTCCTGTCTTGGTCTGGGCGCTGGCAGTATCTCACTCCAACTGCAACCAAGACCATTTATTCAAACATCGACTACATCCTGCATCGGCCGTCGCGCAGCTTGTCAAGCGTCGCCTTATCTGTTGCATACAGCAGGGTGGTAAAGTGAAGACATGCTACTGCTGGCGCCTTCCTTCTTTCTTTTCCACCTGTTTCTCTCACCCCCTCCCAATCCCTATTACTAGCCTTCTATAATTCCCAGTTTACTTGACAGCAACCGCAATGTCACTGGGGTCATACCATCCACAGCTATCTTCCCGCACCACCCATTGGACACAAGTAGCTCCCTATAACGCAACACTGTCCCGTTTCTCTGGCGGCGTTCAACCTTCGCACCCTAAGACAAATACGTTCACAGTCTGCATCATTAAAAATCTTAATCACTTAGCGTATTGACGTGTGCTCTGTGTCCGAAAACAAGTTGATGAATTAACTACGCCCAGCTTGTCCTCTCGCTATTGGTTGAACCCATCCGGAGACGCTGATGAAGTCAAGCTGGAGTGGGCAATGTTCTCAGCTCCAAGGTTGAGTCATCGTTGGTTGATTGGACTCCCGTGAACAGCCGTCTGTATGCAGTCCGTTTGACGACATCAACTAAGTTTGTTTGCGGTTTCCGCTTATGCCCCCACCGACTGATGCTGCTAAGGACGTCTTCTACCACGAACTGAACACGATACGACACAGTGTTTCCGGTTCTGGTATCATAGTTCTTGCAGGGGATAGGAATGCGCAAGTAGGTTGTCTGAGCACTTCAGTGGCTCGACTAGGTAGTAAGTATGGACTTAACTCTCCCCGGACGAACAACGGCGAACGTCTGTTACAGTTGTGTATTAAGCACCGGCTGTTTCTTAACAGCACCGCTTTTAGGTACGGTGGGCGCCGAAGTGCCAATTAGCGTCCACCTATAGCAGACCAGCGATGGACCCAAATTGATCACATTGCCATAACTTACAGATGGCGTGGTTCCATTCTGGATTGCCGCTCTTTCCGGAGTGCTTGCGTCGACTCCGATCATGCCTTGTTACGCTGTCGCTTTTCCATGAACCTTATCGGGAGGTGCACTAAGCACCGTCGATTGGCAGCTGAGAAGTTATCTCAGCAATCGGTCACGCAAACCTATTGGGTTGCCATGCATACCGAAATTTCGCTCTCTCACCCTAATGACACTGACTTTCAGTGGAATAGGATCTAGGCCGCCATACACGATGCTGGAGCAATCGCTTACGGCACTACCTATCGTCACCGCACCAGCCACTGGATACCCGAGATGTCGGTGAGCCTAATGGAAACCAGAAGAAGACTTCTGGACACCTCTGAGTACAATGTAACTAGGCGAACTAGTAGGCGCGAACTAAAGCGGAACCTGTGTATTGACAATGAAGCCTGATGGACCGATAGGGCTCTAAATTGCGAACTGTCCTATAGTTGATGTTAATCGGTCTCAAAATGTCTGTCATCCGGTCACAGGTGTAAACGACCGGTGTGCTAGTCATAGGCAAGTACTGATCTCCATGGCTTTGTTGGCTCTATGTCTAGTTGCTAGACTGTTGGGATTAAAAAAAAGCAAGTACACCTGTACCCGTGCAAGTGCACCTGGGTACAGGTGTACTTGCCACTGAATTACCAACTGTCCAATAATAGATGTTGGTCTATCACAAAATGTCTCACCTGGTCCCGTGGGTGTGAACGATCGGAGTACAGGCGCACTTGCCAGTCTCGTCCGTCGTGAAAACGCCGGATGGGCGCGAATGGTTGAGTTGGAGTCACCTACGGCACTCCACAGGGCAAGTTCACCGATCGAAACATACCGTGTTTCGGGCTTTTTGGAACGAATACAAGCGTGCAAAATCAAGACAGCAGGGCATCATTACCGGTTACTGCGGTAGAATAATGGTGGCCCTTGGACATGCCTAACTAACCTGAACAAGCAGTGTGCAATAGATGCTTAGTGTTATCCCAGCGAATGACAAAAGGGTTATTGGCAACGTTCTTGTAGACTGATAGTTAGCTTCGAACAACCCACCTTAGGAAACTAAGGATTCCTTACAATTATGTATTGCAACTATAAAATGTAAGGTTTTGAGAAAGAAGTCTTGAAAAGCTATGCCGACTTAGAACTACTCGCTGCCGCATAGCCTATTCTACCGTCACAGTCTTGAGCGTTCATCCTAACATATTCACTGATGAGGCAATATTCCATTAGTATGCAACTGAGAAGCTGCATTTCTAGGCATTATCTAATCTTCGCGGATACTGAGATTTACGTATTCTACAAAGAGTGAAGCTCATTGGCTCGCAAAACTAATTGAAAAGTCGTGGGACCACAGCACACGCATTTGGGTCCTCACACTACTGTCCACCGCAAGCCAGTTATCCCTGTGTTAACTTTTCTGACACATATTGCTGCAACCTCCGATTATCAAATTCAAAAGATCTATAAGCCACGCTTTCACAGTCTGTATTCTTATTGAAATATCGTTGGACCATCCTTTTTCCTCTTTATGCGGAAATAGCCTGAGGCAATAGGTTTTAACATTTTGCAAGTCTCCGTGTTGATGGTGCGACATTCGCTGGCAACACAGTCCCTCAGTTGTTCCAGTGAAGTAGGCGTTGTCTTGTATAATCTTCGTTTCAAATAACCCCATAGGAAGAAATCTAAGGGGTTCAAATCTAGTGACCGGGCAGGCCAATCATTTGGACCTCCACGGCCGATCCCCCGATGACTGGACACCTCGTTAAGATAATCCCGCACCGTTTGTGTATAATGAGTAGGTGCGCCATATTGAAGCTATAACGGCTGAAGCGAAGTGCCGAGGTCGCCAACAAGAATCGTTGGTGAAAACTTCTCTAGCTTGTAGCTCCTACGTTATTTGCCAACGACAGTTCCTTTACCATGTGAAAAGAATGATTAACGGAGAAATGGAGGTAATCATATTTGAAGTACTTGGCAAACACGAGGTTAACGTCATGTCTGCAACTGATGTACGTGACTCTGGCTAGCGAGAACCGCCTAACGTAGCCAACAGAGCTTCAACGGTTTCGTCCACCGCCATCAACTTTACAAAAAACTTCAACAGCGATGCCTGCACCCTGTCGGACAATAAGCGCTCACGCGTTTCTCACGTACCCGTCTTGTTCTATTTTCTCGTAGCGTTCAAACTACCCCGACGAAATATTGGCACCACTACCCACCGTAACAATGTGGTAGTGAAATGAATCGTTATGCATTATACAAATATTTACATGAAATATGCTTCAAGAGCAAAAAAATTCAACCAAGTAGATGTTCAAAATGACCACCGTCGTTAAGTTTACAGAACAGTATTCGCCCGATGTTATTGGCTAATACTTTCTGCAAAGTGTTCCCGACATCCCGCGACATTCGTTGACGATGCTCAGTTTCAGTTCCTTCGGCCTGCAGCTGTGGAATGACACAAGTCTGCAACATTTCTTTGTAGGAGGATGCTAACAAATGTGAAGCGTTAGTTCTGTTAATAAATCAACTTACCGTCATAAAAGTCAAAGAAGTAGATGTTCACAATGACCGCCGTCGTTGAGCTTGCAGAACAGTATTCGCCCGATGCTATTGGCTAGCACTATCTGCAAAGTGCCCCGACATCCCGCGACATTCGTTGGCGATGCTCAGTTTCAGTTCCTTCGGCCTGCAGCTGTGAAATGACGCAAGTACTTATTATGAAGCAGGACACCCGTGCTCTCTCTGCCTCGCTGACGCCTAGCGTTCTGGTACCTGTGGTGCGGATCAACTGGGAGGACCTGCGATAATTACCTACTGCACCTGCTTCTTCCATTTCTTGAGCCTTATCAGTCCATCAGGCTTCATTGTCAATACACAGGTTCCGCTTTAGTTCGCGCCTACTAGTTCGCCTAGTTACATTGTACTCAGAGGTGTCCGGAAGTTTTCTTCTGGTTTCCATTAGGCTCACCGACATCTCGGGTATCCAGTGGCTGGTGCGGTGACGATAGGTAGTGCCGTAAGCGATTGCTCCAGCATCGTGTATGGCGGCCTAGATCCTATTCCACTGAAAGTCAGTGTCATTAGGGTGAGAGAGCGAAATTTCGGTATGCATGGCAACCCAATAGGTTTGCGTGACCGATTGCTGAGATAACTTCTCAGCTGCCAATCGACGGTGCTTAGTGCACCTCCCGATAAAGTTCATGGAAAAGCGACAGCGTAACAAGGCATGATCGGAGTCGACGCAAGCACTCCGGAAAGAGCGGCAATCCGGAATGGAACCACGCCATCTGTAAGTTATGGCAATGTGATCAATTTGGGTCCATCGCTGGTCTGCTATAGGTGGACGCTAATTGGCACTTCGGCGCCCACCGTACCTAAAAGCGGTGCTGTTAAGAAACAGCCGGTGCTTAATACACAACTGTAACAGACGTTCGCCGTTGTTCGTCCGGGGAGAGTTAAGTCCATACTTACTACCTAGTCGAGCCACTGAAGTGCTCAGACAACCTACTTGCGCATTCCTATCCCCTGCAAGAACTATGATATCAGAACTGGAAACATTGTGTCGGATCGTGTTCAGTTCGTGGTAGAAGACGTCCTTAGCAGCATCAGTCGGTGGGGGCATAAGCGGAAACCGCAAACAAACTTAGTTGATGTCGTCATACGGACTGCATACAGACGGCTGTTCACGGGAGTCCAATCAACCAACGATGACTCAACCTTGGAGCTGAGAACATTGCCCACTCCAGTTTGATTTCATCAGCGTCTCCGGATGGGTTCAGCCAATAGTAAGACGACAAGTTGGTGACACTTATTTCGCTACTGCAAATGTTCTTCGGACCAACGGATTTGCTTTTTTCCCTTCGAACACTATACTGCTGTTTTTGTTTGTTTTTTTTTTTGAATTTTTTTCGGGTCCGACCTGTCTTTCCGTCTTCATCTTGTTGTTTTCCATGGGTGCCTGTTATCTGGCATACGAAATCATGTTTGCTAATACTGTTGTCAGGGGATTTTTTTTAGACTGCAGCTCGTCCGTCAGTGTGCTGACTACTGCTGAGGGTGCGAACGGAATTTTACTTGATTCATCGAAACAATTCTCTTTTAGCGATAGCTGAATGCGCAGTACGCAGGTCGTTTTATTATGCTTACGTTATCGTGTGTTTTGTTGTTTCCCTACTCAGCTCTTTATGGAATCTTCTGTCTCGCTTCCCAGCAACTTTCACAACTTTTGGCATCTTACCAGGGCATATCATAATCTAGACAGCTATTTCTGGCAACCGGCGGTTAAGGGTGAAACTATCCCTACTATAATGTAGTTGGGTCCATCGCTTGACGTTTGCCGTGGGACACCGTGTTGCATCGGTGTCCGTTATGCCAGACTGCGCTGCCACTTCTAAACAACGCACGATGATCCACATGAGACACAAGCCGGTACTTGTGCGTCTTTTCGCGTTGTTGTGCATCACACATAAATGTTTTATAGAGTTTGTGGTGCCATTAATTTTTTATTCAGCTTTACCGTTCTACGCATTCTGATTTTACTTTTTGTTTCGCCCTTGTTGCTTCTGATATTTCCATTCTTCTCCAGGCTTCTGTTTGGCCAGCCCAAAAGACATACTGTCCAGTACCCTGTTACCGCAACTACGCGAACATTTGTTTGTTGAGCGCGAAGAGCCCGTGCGTGCTGAGCTCGTTCGCTGTTCCGTCGCCCTCCTTCCATTTATCAATCGCACAGATGCACTGCCCCTAGTTCAGCACATTCTGGCTTTTCTTAATGATACCAGTTCCCAGGTATGGTGTACTCCCGTTGTCTTTTCGTTATGTTTTATTTGTTGCTACGAATTCATTCGCGCTCAGCGCATTTATTTGCTATTGTTTGCCACCGCATACACCCGCGTAGTTACAATTTTCATGGTGTTTCTCCTATGTATCAACGTTTCGGTTGATCTCCCCAATTGCACTTGCGTGATTTATGGATACATATGGGATACATTCAGTTGCTCATTTGTTCGCCGAGCTTGGAAATTTGTTTGCAAACGTTTCACCGCCATGCGAGGCGGCATCAGTGCGTCGAGATGTGGAGTGTAATCTCGCTGATTGAATTGTCGATCCGTGATCGGGATGCAGTGAGTTTTCGAAGGTGATGGCTTCGATCTATGTCCCGTGATCTCTACCCACTTCCGCGTGGCGGAAGTCGTCGCTCGGGTTGTTCCTATGCTTATGCTCAGCAGAGGGTTTCAGCATAGCCTTACAGTCACCTTCTCTGCCAGAAACGTCAACTTGCATGCTGTAGTGGTTCCAGCCACCTTCAGTGAGCCATTGAAAACCGGACTGCAATAATCAAAGGCTGCCCTACCTTTTATAATCACAATACCTCGCCTGCGAGATTCAGAACACGAAACAAACCGGCCACCCTTGACCTTGTGTTTGCCAGTGAGAAACGCATGATTGACACAATAACATTGAGTAGCCCGCCGGGACTCAGCGATCTTGCGACAGTGCTTTTCCAATACCTCGGAGACACTGTTCGCGACTGTGGCTTTTCCTGTGGCAACCTTATGAGGTGGGAATGTCTGCTCCCTGATGGTCACAATCCATCGTACTTGCAACTTGGGTCATTGAGCCACCTTTGGTTCGCGTAACGGAAAGGAGATGACGCACGTCACGTCGTAAGCTGACCGAATGCAGTGTGCGAAGTAAACAGGCCAATTATCTACCAGTAGTCATTCTCATCTGATAAGGTGACCACAGGGAAAGCCGCAGTCGCCAACCTAGGTAACAGTGTCGCTGGTGCAAAAGAAGTTAGTTGCTATGCGGTAACGGTGTCCATGAAATGACGTTGCTTTGTTGTCCGCGGCCAATTAGTTGTCAAAAAGGCATCGAACTTCACGATATCGGACGGTGGTGACATACAAGGACGATTTCGTGTTGCTTAAATACGACACACGACAATGTTTCCTCATTTGTCCGTGAAGCCGTCATTGTGCGCACAAGACATGATCCGAAGGGGCCCGTATGCTCGACACTCTCTGGAAGTGAAAAATTGAATACTGCAAGCCCATGAGGTAGGAGACGATTGGAAGCACGTCGCCAGTTTGCTTAATGTGAATTTCAAAACCTGCCGCAGTTGGGCAGCAATGTTAGAGTCCCCAGAACCAAGAAGACCACATTGGGGTTTTCGTCGCATAGCAGTGACAGAAAGCCATGTAGACTTTCTGCTGGAGTGGGTGTCCGAAGAACCAAAGTTAACGCTTGCAACACTTTGTCTGCGTTTGAAGGCGGAGTATTAGGTTGATGTCAGTACCAGTATCGTCGCCCGATACCTAAACGGTCGCCTGATAACAATGAAGAAGTTTCACACCGTTGCCAAGTCAATGAACACTGGAGAATAAAAGGCGACGAAAATGGTTTGTCATGCAGTTGCTGAATTTCCAGACATAAGGACGCAACCCGTGTGGATTGATGAGACTAATTTCAATCTCTTCTACGCGCGCACTCGGGGCCGTTCATTACGTGGGAGCCGCGCAAACTGTACTGTGGCAAACAATCGTGGCCAAAATGTTCACGTTGTTGGAGCCTCGACAAACGACGGGTTGATTGCTTTTTCTGTTTTACGTGGCAGTTTCAACAAGCAAAGGTGCGTACAGTGGCATCGACAGGTGCTTGAGGCAAACGGTTCCGATTTTATGGAACGGTGTTTATTGATTTGTGACAACGCCCCGTGCCATGCAGACTTGGGAACCGTTTTCTAAGAGGAAGGCTACCGATCCGATCCGGGAGGATATTACGATTAGCACCTTGCTCTCCAGCGCTGAACCTTACCGAGTCACCCTTGCTTGAAAAACAACCGGCGCTATCCGTAGAACATGCACTAAGACTATTGCCTTATTATTATTTGCGATGCCAAAGAAGTCGGATGGATGGACTACTATCGGCGGTGACGAAATACGAATACTATAAGATGATAGTAAACGAATCGCACATCTGTACATTTTTAATAAATTCTGCGTATCGCATATTCCAGTAGTAGGCCAGCAAAGCCGGTGATCATCGCGGTATTCAGAGTGGGAAGATGGTAATTGACAGTACTCAGCAGTTGTGTTAATACCGTTTTTTTTATCTCAGAGGATTGTGGAAGGGTTTTCTCGTAATTCAAGTAACGAACTGCGTTTGGAGTCAGTTAAAAACAGGTTTCGTAAAAGACTAACACAGTCCGTCCTAAGTTGATGGGCAACATCGCAGTTAAACATTGTGAAAAAATCTACTACATTAAAAATAACATTGAGTGGGTTTAAGAAAGCAGGACTCATCGCGACGAGGCTGGACCCTAACGCGATGTGATGGTTTGCGTGCCTCAGCGATCCAGTGCGCTTTGCAGTGTGGTGCTATTGTACCTTCAAAGCGACTCACCCCAGATTAGTCAATGGTGTTAGAGATTTTACAAACTCAGTCTCCTGGACCGCCAAGTTGAGGCTAGAATGAGGGTGCCTGCTTACTCCATAAGACGGGCTCCGAGTAGTCCAGCGTCAAAACCCGCCGATGTGCGGTCAGATTTTCGAACCAAAAGCTTTGATTCAGAACCCTAGTTGTTTAATCAGTCAGAATTGCCAGCTTCTCCATCGGACAATGAGCGCGTTACTCCCTGCGCCGTCCCCTTGGATCCGCCCTCGCGCGCAGAAATCAAACGTCAGATCAGACGGCTGTAGGTGCACAAGACCGCGTCAGATTCGGGGGACCTGCTCTTTTGCACGATTTACATAAGTTGTTAGTGAATCTATGGGAGCGGGAGATTGTACCAACAGACTGAAGCCGCCCCGTTTTAGTCCCACTTTTCAAGGAGGTTCTTGTTCAGAATGCGATAGAGATAGAGGAATCAGTCTGATCTCCTTTGCCTCTAAGTTACTTGCCTCTGTCGTCCTTATAGACTGTCTAGCATCCATGAAAGTCAGATGCGGGAGTAGTAGACCGGGTTTCGTCGAAATCGAGGCTGCATTGACCACATCTTTACATTACGTTAGGTGTTGGAGTAACGCCATGTTTATTGGCGACAGACCGATTTCGTGTTCCTAGACATCAAAGGGGCCTTTGAGTCTGTTGATCGTTGTGCCTTTCTGGACTGCTTACTGAGGAAAGGTGTGCTCGAGAAATATGCAAATATCATAAGAGCGCTGTACATGCATAGTTCGGGCAGAGTGAGGGTTTACGCCAATGACGAAGTTATGAAGACTGCGTTCACTGGGCACGACCTACAAGGTGTGGAGCTGCTCCCAGGTGATCGAATTCTTGACTTGGAGTACGCCGACGACATTGCCCTTAGCTGTGAAAGCTTTCAAACGTGTCAAGTGACACTGAGCAAATTAGCATTGGCTCTTAGTCGTTTCGGGCTATGCTTTGCGCCGTCGAAATGCAAAGTTCTCCGAGATTGGTAAGGGCTCACTCCTGCGCTGACCGTTGGTAGTGATAAGCTAGAAGTCATCGAGAAATTCAAGTATCTAGACACTTATCTCAGCACCAGTTGAAATGAAGATGAGATCCCAAATCGCATAGCAAAAGCTTGAGGCGCTTTTGCCAATCTCAGACACCTGTGGCGCAGGTGTGACATTAGTCTCTCTCTCTATACAACACAATGCAGCCGTCCGTTCAACCCTCCTATACGGTTGTGAAACCTGGCCCATCAGGTCGACAGAAATAATGAGACTAGCTGCGTTCGACCATGGCTGCTTTTGCAGCTTAGCTCATGTCTGGTGGGAACGTCGCATGAGCAATAAGCGGGTTCAGTGTCGTGTATTTAGTGCAGGATGCGCGAGTTAACCGCTCAGCACCATTATATCCCGCACCAGGCTCCAATGGCTAGGCCACGTGTTGCACATGTCAGCCCACCGACTCGTGCAACGTGCTTGTTGGCGCACCCAGTGTGTGGATGGAAGAGCAGGAGGTAAGGCCAAGTGATGACTTGTTCGAGAGAAATGAAATCCGTCACTTCGAAGTTGGCGTCGGTTGGTGCATTCCATCTGCCGAGCTGACGTCTCAAGGACGATAAACATCTTTGGTTGGGTACACAAGCGGACCTGCCGAAGAGTCGACCTCGGTGGCGTTTGTGTTTGTTGTTTCTTTGTCCACACTTCTGTTTTTCTTCCTGTTCCAGTTATGATTTGTTACCTAATATGTAATATTATCTTTAACCATATTAGTTATCTTTTTGACTTTTAAGTATTCTCCAATTCTTTTTGTCTTTTTTTTACCTCAGCTGAGGTGTTTTCTCACTCTTGAGACCTGTATTGTTGATGATGGCGACCTAAGACTAGCACTGCGTTCCTAGATGTCGTGGCACTTGCATTGTACAATGTTTGAAGGCGTGCAATATCGGGAGCTTTTAACAGGTCCCAACGGTTGTTAGAGTGTGAGTTGCAGTTACTTGTACACAAATGCAACGGTGTATTTTTCTTTACAGTGAGGGGAAGTCGTAATTCACTACGTGGGTGGAAGTGAGATGTCTGCAAGGAGAACAGGTAGGGGGATTTTTTTGCCTACTGTCTCATCTACTTGGTTGAGACAGCGTGAGAGTTGTCTTCGTGGATACAGCAGCTCTTGCTCCAAGCCATGCGTCTACTTTTTGGTTCCAGTAGATGCCTGTGGCTTTTATCATGTTTCATCTTACCGCCAATCTCCTTTTTGGCGTCCTAAGATATATCTAGAAATATTCGCACTCCGCTTGTTGATTGTTTTTAGCAACGCTCCAGTCGTATCAGTCAAAATTTGCTTTACTTGAAATAGTCTACGTTCTTTGTAGT